AGCAAGCAACTAAATCTCAGATGAATTCACACTACATAGGGCGTGTATACCATATGGAAACCTCCACATGTGTGTTCCAAAATTTAAATTTAAATAATCACATTATTTAATTTATAATTAATTTTCAATTAATTATTCTTGAGCGTTTTATTTAGAATTTCATAATTCTAAAAATCTCATTTTGCCCTTAGTGACTTGTAGGATTACAAGGATGACGCGAGGACTCGTGAATTTATAATTCCGAACTCCAATAAAATTAATTAAAACTCTTTAATTAATTAATTAATTATATTAATTATAAAAGTTACTCCACTATAAACTTGGAATTGCGCTCTCGTAATTACAAATATAAATTACTTCTAAACTGTGAGGTGTCCATTTGATATAGTCATTACATATAGATCAATCTTTCATAAATAATTCATAATTAGAGCTAGGTGAAATCCGTTAACCTCTATAATTACATCTTTATCCTTGAGTACCATTGATTCTCTAATGGATATTCTCGGCTACTCATTTCATTATGTCTCTAAAATATAAGGAATGTGATTCAATATCTCGGAATCCGTACCGAGTAAATCAAAAGACACAAATCAATAGGAGTATGCTAATAACTCAGGATTAGGATCGTTCTATATATGACCATCGGTAGACTCAATTAGAATTTCTATACTTAACGAAAATTATCAGAAATTCATATTGTGTCTGTGTCCCAGTTCCACACAATCTTATAATGCGTAATACACTCATTCAATATTTTGTCATATTAACAGTGCGGATAACATCATTTCATTCTAAGGAAATGACATGTATTAGTAATGATTTAATTAAATATTCTGAACTTTAATTAAATTCATTACGACATTATTTTGATTAGTATCCTTAAATATTATCCTCTCGCATATAATATTTATATACAATATTTAAGATCACATAAATAATTATGAAATTTTTAATGATATTCACAAAATATTCAATAATATATGCACATAAAATAATAAATAAATTCTTTTTATTAAATAAATAATAAATAACCAATTACATTTCATAAAGATGTTATTCCCAACAATTTATATATAACACCAAACACATGTCGGTGTTAAGTAGTCCAATTCATTTGAAAATAATCAATCATGTCTATTCTGATCCAAATCTCGCACATCAAAGATAGAACTTGAGGTTATCATTGTCAAGTTCTTTTTTAAAAACATAATTTATGATGAGTTTTTGGTGCCCGTAGCCACAACTAATAGAATACGAATCGTATTAAGAACCATGTTTCGGTGTCTCAAATTAATTCTAACCATTATAATGAATAGCAATATTAAAGGGGGAAAAATAGACGGTTCTTTGAGTCTTGTCCTTCAAAGCCAAAGAAGGGTCAAAATAACCATATATCACAACTAGAATCAGCAACCAAGAGCATTAATTTTCTCTTTACTAAAAAGAAGAATCGGTTATATCTCACTTTCATTCTTTTTCTTTTTCTCTCATGAAAAGGAAAACCAAGTATTTAGAGTAAAGAGGAGGGCCAAAAAAAGCCAAATATAATGTGTGATTTGATCAGACAGAGCATGTACAATCTTGTGGATGTGGCTCTCAATGAATATGGCCTGAATTTTTGGTGGACATGCCAGAACCATGTGTCTTTTTGCCTGGTTTTAATTTTGATGGTAAATATGACATTTCATTTTATTTTATGTTGGTTTGTTTCTTTTAATGACAATTAGTTTCTAAACGTACTCGGTACGTATTTCTGTGTTAGAGACACTTTAAGTAGTTTATCATTTACTGTATAATGAAAAATTTATTTATACAACTATTTAAATTTTCTTGAGTTTATTTTAATTAATTGAGGTAATTGAGCTTATATATTCGCACTTTTTATAAATAGGACATATTTTGAACAAATTAAATAAAAATAGTAATTAAGGAGTACATATGAGAAGAAAAAAGATGTATGAGTAATGGTATATTTGAAAAAGAATATTTTATTACGACAAAAAAGAAAAAAAATTTAGTAAAACACGTATGAAAATATAAGATTACAAGGGAAAAAATGAATGAAAAAAGTGTTATAAGATTATTGATGGAGTAAAGGTAGGGAAAAAATGAAAAAAAAAAAAAATTATCAGTGATGTGGAGGAACCGAAGAAAGACGCGCATTACCACTTTTATATTTATGAATTAAGAACAAATAAAAAAGAAAACTAATTAAAATGCACATAGGATAAGGATAAAGATATTTAAATAAAGGATATTCAAAAAGTTTATTTCAGTGAGATAGAGAAGAAAAGGTTAGTTTATTGAAATAACATCCCAAAATATTAAATTACAAAAAAAATCATATAAAATATTATAAGATAATAATTAGTATTACACGAAAAATTAAGTAGGGAGAATTTAAAACAAATAACTTAATATGAGTAAGAAAGGAAACAAAATTTCAAAAACCACATTCAAAAAGAATTAAAATGTACAAAAACTTTTGTAAAAATAGAAAAAAAAAAAAAAAAGTAAGGATGCATTTAAAATACTGTATTTTAACGAAAGCAGAGCAAGAAAAAAAATATTTTAAAAAGACACATCATAAGTAAGGGTCTATTTTTTAAAAAAAAGTAACTATTTCAGTTAGGTAAAAAGAGCAAAAAAGTATTTTAGTTAAATATTTCTTAAAATATAGGCATTACAAAGAAAAATAAAGAAAAATGTTATGAGATAATAAGTAAAACAAAACAAAAAATTGAAAGGAAAAAAAATCATATAGGAGCCTTTAACAAAAAGAAAAAAAAAAGAGAGAGAGAAAAACTCAAACAAGAAACCAAAAAGAAAAAAAAAGAATGAGAAAAAGTAAATAAAAAAAAAATAAAATAAAAGAATGAGGAGACACCACGTTACGAAAGAGGAAGATGTGCTTTTACCTCTTTTATATATGTAAAGATATATGTATACTGAACCAATTTCATGGGTCCCCTACATGTGAAAAATATGTGTAAAAAAGTATACAACAACCAGATAACTTGCACCTAATTATCGTATATAATAAGGGACCTTTTTAATAGATTCGCTTATTGATATGGTCAATTTTTTATAGTTAAATCTGATTAAAATTATATTACATTAAAAAGTATATAAAATAAATAATTTTTGATATAGATTTGATGAATAAAAGGTACATATCTATCGATAATTCTTTTTTTCTAATTTTATTAGAGAAATTCAATTTTCTTGAGATCCCAATATATGTCTATATATATGTGATACACTGTAATATAATATAATATAATCTTGGATACATAAAAACCTAACAAGTAACAACTAAAGTACTAAACAACCGTATCTGTACCAATCCCTTAAGATACACTGTACAAATTATCGGTTGGTGTTTCAGTTTATATGTTTTTCCAAAATCTGAACTTTGGAATTATAAAATCTAAGTTAATTAGGATAAGAAGGTAAAACAGATAAAACATCAAACTTTATTATTGAAATATTTTGATGAAACGATGAGTACTATTTGGTTATGAAAAGTTGGGCAATATCGTTGAATTTGCTCATCATTAATTTTACAACTGCCCTTATGTCTACTAATCAAATATGAAACTTCCAATATCTATAAAGCTAGAAGTAGAACAAAGAAAATTATTAGGCTGGTTCAATTAAATTTAAAGCGCCATTATTTCATATAGGCCTAGCTGGTTAGTCCATTATTATTTATTATTATTATTATTTTTGGTTAATTCATTATTATTAATTATTTTTATTTTTCTTTTCTTTTTCTTCGGCTTCAATAGTCCACAACTTCCTCTACTACCAGTTTCCACATCTAGAAAGTCACATTATTAATAAGATATTGTTGATGCAAAAACAACTTTTGTTTTTCCTTTCAAAATGTAATATCTTCACATAGCCTCTGTTCCACTGAACCACATAAATATTTAAGTTTACTCATTTAATTGATGGATTAACAAAAAAAAAAAAAAAGAGGATTCTTTGACGGGTATATAAAAAAAGAGAGAAACTACCGATAAGACGTGATTTTTAATTATCAGATGTTTATCTAATTCCGTTAAATCGTCATATTTTATTTAATATTTGAAATCAATATAATCTGATCTAACAATAAAGAACAACGGCTAAAATTGCGTTTGGTATGATAATTTTAAAACTGAAACCATAATTCTGATTCAAACCTTTCTTTATTTGTAAAAAGTAAAAAATAACTCTTGAAAATTAGTATTTAGTTTATATGATTTTAGTTTAATATTTAAATTTTGATGTGATATTTTAAACTAAAATCACCTTAAAAAATAAAACTACAACCTCCTTTAATTTTAGATGGTTTAAATCTTTGATTTTATTTCTGATTCTAAAACTATGATTTTGACTAAATTCAAACCATAAATTATAATTATAATTTTAAAATTAAAACCACCTTAATTTAAACTTTTATACTAAACACAATTTAAATTTAATTGACGGTTGAAAACTGTGTCGATAAGCATTTTTTCATATGGAATCACAAATTGTTTTAAAAGAAAAAAAAAATACAGAGAGAGATTAATATGTGGTGGGTTGGTCCAACCGTCCAAGTCTTGCTAGCTGTTGGTACTGAGAAGAGAGAGAGAGAGTTTTGTGGTTGGTTGGTTTAACAGCTCGTGATGAGATGGAAAAAGAAAAAGTGTGGAAAGAGAGAGGGGTTTTTGTCAGGTTTTGTCTGTGGACTGTGTGGGACTAGAAAAACTAAACACAAAAACAACCTTGTGAAAATCTTTTGGCCCGTTGTCTCTGAGTAGTTGGCAATTACCTTTGTCCTCTTGATGAACTCTCCAAGGCAGCTCCACAACACAAACTAACTAGTCTACAACATATTCTCGATTAAAAAAAAAAGAAAAAAACTACAACATTTTCTCTTTCCATTTTTTTAAAATTTTTTTTGACCTTTTCCCTTTATATTATATACACTTATTCATCAATCCTCCTCTCTCTCTCTCTCTCTCTCTCTCTCTCTCTCTCACATTTTAAAAGCATAAGATTGACTAATCATAGAAAGAAAGGAAACAAGAAAAAGAAAAGAAAAAAAGAATGAATGGTGTTTCATCTCCTGAACAGGATTACTCTGAATTTGTTGAAGTTGATCCTACTGGAAGATATGGAAGAGTAACAACACCTTTCCTTATAACTTCTTTTCTTTGTCTTTTTTTTTTCTTTTCCTTTTTTCTTAATCTTGTTTCTACATTGAAGCTAATATTGTTTTTTTTTTTTGCAGTACAATGAGATTCTTGGTAAAGGGGCTTCAAAGATAGTGTAAGAAGCTCTTTTCTCTCTCCCTTTTGCATTCCCTTTTCAAATTTATATAAATTATGTTTGTTTTCATTGTTGGGTATAACATGGTTTTCCATTCAAGTTTATATATTCATATACATATACATATATGTACATTAATATTGATGTATTGGTTATTGTAGGTATAGAGCCTTTGATGAGTATGAAGGGATTGAAGTGGCATGGAACCAAGTCAAGCTTTATGATTTTCTCCAAAAGCCTGAGGATCTTGAGAGGCTCTACTGTGAAATTCATCTTCTAAAGACCTTGAAACACAATAACATCATGAAGTTCTGCACTTCTTGGGTTGACCCTGCCAACAGAAACATCAACTTTGTCACTGAGATGTTCACCTCTGGTACTTTGAGACAGTAAGTTTTTTTTTTCAATTTTATATCAAGGCCTTTGGAATTGTTTAATTTTGCTGGGTTTTTGTCACTGAGATGTTCACCTCTGGTACTTTTGAGACAGTAAGTTTTTTTTTTTTTTTTTTTTCAATTTTATATCAATGTCTTTGGAATTGTTTAATATTGGTGTTTTTTTTATTTTTTATTTATTTATTTGTTTTTTTTTTTTTTTGTGTGGGGTAGGTATAGGCTTAAACACAAGAGAGTTAACATAAGAGCAGTGAAGCGTTGGTGTAGGCAGATTCTGAAAGGACTTGTTTATCTCCACAACCATAACCCCCCAGTAATCCACAGAGATCTCAAGTGTGACAACATTTTCATTAATGGAAACCAAGGGGAAGTCAAGATTGGTGATCTTGGACTTGCTGCTATACTCAAAAAATCACATGCTGCTCATTGTGTTGGTAATTGTTACTTATTACTAATTCATGAAAATTAGATTATTTAGGATTGTTTTGCTCACATATTTTGTTAATTTTTTTTTTCTTACTATTATTATAATGCTCATATTCAGGAACACCAGAGTTTATGGCTCCAGAGGTTTATGAAGAGGAATACAATGAATTAGTTGACATATATTCTTTTGGGATGTGCATATTGGAAATGGTTACCTTTGAATATCCATATAGTGAATGTACTCACCCTGCTCAGATTTACAAGAAAGTTATCTCAGTAAGGACTCAAAAGAAGCCTCAATCTCTCTATCGAAGATCCGTTGTTTTAAACAAGAAGTTAATTTTTTTCTTGTTGCATTTTTTTTATTTAGGGGAAAAAACCAGAAGCTTTATACAAAGTAAAAGATCCTGAGGTGAGGCAATTTGTCGAGAAATGCTTGGCAACCGTGTCCTGTAGGCTTACTGCTAGAGAGCTTTTGAAAGACCCTTTTCTCCGAATTGATGATTATGGATATGATTTTAGGCCATTAGAGTATGAAACCGATTTTGATGAAGTTGACCCTTATTTAAGACAACCTCATTACGGAGTTCATTACAACAACAGATCGACGATCAACGGTTACGGCTATTACCTTGGCTATGAACATGAAAATGACTTTGATTGCAGCCCGGTCGAGTATGAAACAAGTGAGATTGATCTCTTCAACTGTCAAGAGGATGAGCATTTGGGAGATGTTGACATAACAATCAAAGGGAGACGAAAAGACGACAATGGCATATTCTTGAGGCTCAGAATTGCAGATAAAGAAGGTCAGGCTCTATATGCATAATCTTGACTCTTTTTTTCTTTTCATTTTTTTTATTTTTATTTTTTATTTTTTATAATTCCCATATTTCTTTCATATCATATTTGAACCATGAAAGTGAACATAAGAACTGAAGTCAGCAATATGTGCAGGCCGAATAAGAAATATCTACTTCCCGTTTGAAATTGAGAATGACACTGCCCTGAGTGTGGCTGCTGAAATGGTTGATGAGCTTGACATCACTGACCAAGATGTAACAAAAATAGCAGATATGATAGACGGTGAAATTGCTACTTTGGTGCCAGATTGGAAAAGAGGAGTCGAATTAGAGGAAAATCCGCGGTGCTCAACTTCAAGTTTCTGTCACAACTGTGCCTCAAATGGTTCCCCACTTGTGGACTATGTAACATCAGATAATTCAGGTACCCAGAACCTTCAAGTTCTTCAGTGTTCCAAACATGCCTCTGCAGCCATTCATGGCCGGTTCGAAGAGATTACCTACCAAGTTGAGGGGTCAGAACACTGCCTTCCAGAGGGCACAGCTGAAACATCTTGCCAATCTAATGGTATTCATTATGCTGATATCTGGGCTCAGAGAGATGGATTAGACTTGTGTTCACAAGGGTCAATAGATATCTTTTGTGACGAAGCAGGTAATTCGTCGAACATGTCAAACTGTGGAAAGGAAGAGAGGATTATAACAATGGATGAACAAAGTGAGTCCAAGGCTGGAAGTCGTCACTTATCGGTGAATCCCAAATCATGTTCCGCTTCCTTTGATGATTATGACAATGAGATTAGGCAAGAGCTAAGATGGCTCAAAGCCAAGTATCAAATGCAGTTGAGGGAGCTCAGGGACCAACAATTGAGAGTTAACCCAAAACCATCAAACTCAGTCCCAAGTCCTGATAACTTGGAGCACAAGGAAGACAGCAGTTCATCAATGTCTTTAGTTTCACCCCAGCTGAACAAACGAAACAAAAGGCCACCCCTGATATCTTCACCCCCTTTAAAGCATTTGATCGGTTCGCATTTTACAGCGGATGACGGGAAGAAATGTGCCGATTTGGAGAACGGGTCTTGCAGTCCAGACCAGATATTCACAGCAAAGAGTTTCTATACAGGAGATTTGCTTCCACAACCTCTTCATAGAGCAACTTCTCTTCCTGTTGGTGCTATTGACTTTTAATCCCCTACGAAGTTATCAAACACCTTCGACAGATCTCCCAACAAGAACTCTAAGTTGATGGGCATTGTACAAGCACAAATTGTAACTTCGAATGTTCCATACATGTGAGATCTTACTGTTTGACGAATTTCAACCGTCTAACTCCCACTTCCTAAGTATGTTTAGTGAATGTACAATACCCAACCACAAAAAAAAAAAAATATATATATATATATATAAATTAAATTAAATTAAATTGAAAAAAAAAGCATCTTTTCTCCATTTCTCTTTTTTTTTTTTTTTTTTTTTTTTTTTTGTGTCATACCACAGATGGAAAATTTTCTCATGGCCATCTTTTTCAGGCCATATAGGTTCTGTTTCTTAATGTTCCACTTTTGAATTCCATTTCTGATGACTGCAGATTCCACTTGGTCGTTTAGATTATTTAACACGGCTGTCCTTGCTGGCCTGTACAAAGAAGAGGTGTTTTCACTTTATATCATCAAATCTTTGTCATTCCCTCTTAACATTTTCATATATATATATATATATATATATAATATGGGTGATCAATGAAAATTGAATCCTCCCTAAAAGTGGCTCTAGATGAGCCCCCATAAAACGCTTTGAAAGATGCATTTTTGCCATACTTTACACGCTCGCCATTCTATAAAATTGTGGGCTCTTTTTAACCACACACAAAAAAAAAAAAAAAAAAGTTGCAAAAGAATTGTGGGCTAAATTTAAATCCTCCTACTCTTATCCTATAGTTGCCTGGTTTTTAATAATTCTCGACTCTTGTCAATAAGGCCAAACTAGCTGACCTGATACACTTGAGTCCAAAATCCCTGAGGTATGATTCAGCCGACCAAAGAGCAATATCTTTGTAGTACTAATCATTTCTCACTTTGATAATCCACTTTTTATCTTTTCATTCTTTTCCAAACTCTCTTTCTTATATATTAGTAGGTTATAAATAAATGTAGAAATAATGGTCCAGTGTACGTCTGTGGTTGTTCTGATCCTTCATTTGTATACATGTGATGACTCATTTGCCATGTGATTGATTATGGCCGTTTAGTTAGTTAATTTGAGTTTATATATAATTTTATGTGAGTTTTTTACTATAATAAAAAAATTAGATGTGATTATTTTTGAGAACTTTTTATTGTAGAAAAACATAAATTTTAAATTAGAATCGATTAAATGAATGGATAGAATTTTTGTTGGGTAACGTTTGGCACAAAGATCAAAGTAAAGGGGCATATAGCAACTTGTTTGTGCCTTGCACATGCAGAGACTGGTTTATCGTAACAAACTCAACAACAAAACCATTAATGATACAATGTGTTGTAACATTCCAAGCAAAGGGGTTTGAGGGCGCGTTTAATTCACGTGTTTACGTCAGTAATTCTAATTTATTAATTAAAATTTTGTAAGAGAATTATTAAGGGGTTTGAGGGCGCGTTTAATTCACGTGTTTACGTCAGTAATTCTAATTTATTAATTAAAATTTTGTAAGAGAATTATTAGTGAGAAATTTTTTAATTTAGATTTTTTATAAGAAAAAACTACTACAACAGAATCAGAATCATGACTTTAAATATACTTGTAAAACAGGAAGTTTTCAATATACGAAGGATGTCATTTGTTATTTGTTTGTTTGTTTGTTTTTTTTTTTTTTTTTTGTAAGGCTAAATGGAGATTGATTCACATGCTTATAATTTTGATGTCGTATGATAGGTTTAAAATTGTGTCTTCTAAATAAGGTTTTTTTATTTTTTTATTTTTTTATAATACACTGCTACAGAATTCTCAGTTAGTTATAAGCAAAATCCACAAGCTCAAACTAGAAGAAGAAAAAAAAATGATCAAAGTAAATAATTACAATTTGACAAAGAAAGAAACATAGTTCCCATGTGACAAGTTCTTGCTTCTAGTATTTCTCGTGTTTTTTTTTTTTCTCCTTTCTTTCTACTAATTTTCTAATGACACATCAGTCACTAAACTACAATGAATATAGTCGATGAAGTGTAACTTTTTCTTCCGAGACTTTTACTTTGCAATCGGTGTCTGCATGTGGGTGCATGATGAAAAAGGTTAGGCCACGGAAAAGTTTTGTCACACAATCAATGAATAACACGAAGAAAGATTCCTTTTACTAGTCTTTCAAAAAAGGGCCTGCGTTTTATTAAGCCAAAAAAATGAAAATTGTCTTTAATTGTGAATCAACCTTCCCCCTGTTGATCATCAATCAACACTAGAAAGAGAGAGAGCATCAAAAGCAAAGCGTCCGTACGTTCAAAGGGACAAACGACTCGTGACCAACTCAACTACTTCTCATTGAATGTTCTTATCTTTAAACTCTTTTAAACTCCGTTTATTTTACCGATTTAAATTTAAAATTTGAGTTTTGTTATAGTAAAAAGCTCTCAGAAACAGTCACATTTAACCTTTTTATTATAGTAAAAAAAATTTATATATCACATCTTAACTCGAATCAGTAAACTAAACATGCTCTTACTATTGATTATTGATTGAAGTAGTCACTTCAATACTCATCTAAATCTCAAGTTTAGAGTCCGTTTGAAAGGTATATTCAAATTTATAACTTCATGTTTGAAATTCAAATTTTATGTATTTTTTATTATCATGTTTGAAATTTAAATTTTATGTGAGAATTTTACACTATAATAAAATCAATAATTTAAATTTGAATATATAAAATAAACGATCATAAGTCTAAAATAGTAAACTACGAATTGAGAACTTCCAGGGGATCATATATAAACGTGATATTATTAGATTAGATATATTAGAACCAAACAGTATGTGTATTTGAGGTACGGAGATACAAGAGTTCAAAATTGTGCATTACTAGTAGTGTTTTTTTTTTTTTTTTTTTTTTTTTTTTTCAATTACATCAAAACACTTTTCCAAATGAATTTTCAGAATAATTGAATTCCCCGCAACTATTAAATTTGCGGGTAATTTCTCAAGAATAAATTATAATAGTTATGGGACCTGATACTACCGCTTGGATTTGGAACAGAAAAAACCTCCTTGGCTGCCAAGTACCTAAACATCTAGCTATATACTCCCAACAAAATTGACAATCTAAGAAGCATTGTGAACTTTCAGTGAAAATACTTTTGAAATTGTGGAGCTAAATTCATAGAAGTATATATATATATATATATATATGAGTTTTTAATAGTTATATTTTCATCGATAGCTATCATTAAATATAAAAATTTGATGATATAGCGTGATAATAATCTAATTTCAAAACCGTTTTACCCCTCTTTCAAAACCTTCTTACAAGAGCTGAATTAACAACTTAATTCGGTCCAGTTTCTATGTCATTTTGGTCTTTTGAAAGAATATAGTGTAAATTACAAACAGTTTTTAAATGCTTACAGCACATAATCATATCCTTTTTTTTTTAATGTTCGTATCACTTTTAAGGCCTATGTAAAGAAGCAAAATATGTCAAAGATGAATGCGTAGAGTACATGATTAATGAAGCAAAACGATGCTTAAAGATTAGTCTTATTTGTTACATGATAATTAGGATAAGTTCTTTCTGAATAGCAGCTTTTGTGGCCGCTGCAGAACAGCATTAACACTATGTTTGGTACGATGGAAAAGTGAAAGGAAGAAAGTGAGTAGAAGGATCATTGGATGGAAAATAATAGAGTATGTTGTTTGGTAAGAAAGAAGAAAAGCGAGAAAGGAAAATATGATGAAAAAAAAAATTATAGTGGGGCCCACCATTTTTTATCTCTGTGAGAAAAACTCAAATTTATTTTTGTCTCTATTTTAAAATTTAAATTAATATTAAATAATTAATAAAATAGTTATTTATCTTATTACATATTTTTTTCCTTTCATTATACCAAATACTACAAAAAAAAATCAACTTTATTCTTTTCCTTCACATTTTCTTTCTTTTATGTATTTTCTTTCCATTCTCTTTTTTTTTTTCATTCTCTTTTCTTTTCCTCCTACCAAACGGAGTGTAATAAGGGCTGTGGCTTATTTCTATAGTGGGAAATAAGTCACAGGGAGTTATTCCTCAATGGAATGCAGTTCACGAGCTATTTCATTTCTTCAATGGAAAAAAAAAAAAGGAAAAAGAGAAAAGATGCAAAAAGAGCTTAAAAGCCATTCTCAGCCATGAAGTGAAATCATATCATGATAGACATTGACGTCGTTTTTTTTTTTTTTTTTTTTCTCTAACATATTGATGTCGTTTGTTTGCTTATGGAATATGGATACATATGGATAGTACAACTGATGGCCCAAAAACCACAATGTGGGAAATTTAATTTAGTGGGCATGACATTTGTCCCGTGAGGGGATCCATTTTTGCCTTGCAGACAAAAGTTTTTATTAAATCAGTTGTTGGGAATTCAAATATTAGATTAATTTCAAAATTGAGCCTGAAAATAGGGCTGGCTTCACTTTGCCCCTACAATTTAAAATGACACAATAATACCCCAAGTTTATCATAAGTTGTAATTTGGTATTTCTGGCAATAAAATGTTAATATTTTAACGGTTTTAAGTAAATGTAAATCACATGACAAGTTAATAAAGGGCAATATAGGAAGGTGAGGAGAAGTGAGAGTTGCAAGCAAAGGAGGAATTTGTGATTTTTATAGAATTTTTAAAGTCTATTTTGTTTAATATTTTTTTAATTTACTTTTTATCAAACAGTCATGTGATCTACACATGATTTAAAACCGTTTAAAAAATTGACTGGACGGAAGTAACAAAGTTGCAAGTTATTATAAACTTAAGAGGGAATTTTCTATTATTTTGAATTATAAGGGCAAATTGAGACAACCACTATTTTTTGGGGGCTAAAATTATAATTAACCCCAGACATTTTTACTCTTCAATGTTTCTCCAAATTTCAAACGTGTGTCCATAGTTTGTTTCTCTTTCACTTTTCCCTCTCGTTCTCTTTCTCTCTCTTTCTCTTCTCGCCGCCTGAGTGGATATTGGTTGGTTGTAACCGTTATCACGTGGCGATGTTTACCGAGGCAGTATCACAATGGGTATCGACGATTACCAACTGATATCTAAAAGATATATTTGATATTTTAAATATTGTAGTATGATATATTTACATGACGTGACATTATCTATAGAAAATTTTTTCTCCAGGCGCAAGTCAATTCTAACCATGAATTTGTG